AAAAAACTCAATCACAAAAATATTGTCAAATTATTTGCTATTGAAGAGGAGGTAAGTAGTCAAGCTTTAGTTAATCTTGTCATATTTGTTATAAATATTGCAATCCAGGAGAAATGACCTAATATAAAAAATTGTTTTATAAACAGTGAGGTTTTTTAAATGGTGAAAATTAGAGCTCATATAACCAAATATTCTGTTCTCAAAGATTTTTTTTTTCCTCAAAGATTCTTGAAGAGATAAAACAATGGAAATAAAGTATCATGGAATCAGAACAAATAGTATAAGAAATAAGAGTAAAGAATGTGGTTACCAGTATTTTTACTAAAAATAAAAACTAAGTGAAATTAAATTGGCATAATTATACAAGGAGGAAGTCAAGCAATAGAAAGAAGGCTTTGTAAAAGAAAAAAATCCTAGGAACCCAGAAATTGATATAGTATATGAAATATATACTGTATATGTTAATGTAGTATGTAAAAGATACAATTGACTTTAGGGAGAAACTGAAAAGAATGTTAATTCGGGGGGGGAAGAAGAATGTGATTAGGAAAATTATCTAGAAGTAATGGAATAGAAGTTTAGTTTGATCCCTTTAGACATGAGTAATCAATCAAATCACACCTTTTGAATAATACTTTGGTAGTTTATATTCCTTATAATAGTGATTTCATTTTTAGTGAGTACTTCTTAGGAGCTAATCAGAAATGTAAATTATAGTTTTATGCACAAAGATGTTCATTGCTGCCCTGTTTATGATAAAGAATGGTTAAGTAAGTTAGAATATGTGATGGATAGTTACTCGGTTTGTTACACTCAAGGTTAAGAGTGTAGGCCTCCAGACCGCCAGATTTGTTGAAGACTTCCAATACCAGCTGCAGAAGAGCTTGGCATACTGCACAAAGAGCACAGTCCCCACAAGACTGTGCTTATTCAGACGCTAGCTGCAAGTTCAGAAGTCCCCTAGGGCTACCATCACATCAGACCTGCTGGCTGCAGATTTGGGGCTCCCCATGACTGCCCCCAGATTTGATAATTTGCTAGAACGTTGAATGACTCGGGACGCCTGGGTGGCTCAATCAGTTAAGTGTCCAGCTCTTTATTTCAGCTCATGTCATGATCTCAGGGACCTGGGATTGAGCCCCACGTTGGCCTTCACATTCTTTTTGGGATTCTCTCACTTTTCCTCTGCCGGCTCTCCCCCCCCCCCCCCCCCGCTTGTCCGCTCTCTCTCTCTCTAAATAAATGAGATCTTAAAAAAAATAGAACGTTGAATGACTCACAGAACTCAGGAAAGCACTATACTTCAACAGTTTTATTAGAGCAAAAGGATACAAATTAAAACTAGTCAAAGGAAGAAATTCATAGGACAGATATAGGAGGATTCCAAACATGAATCTTCCTTGTCCTCATAGATACAGTACCCTCCTGGCATTGATGTATGACAGTATGCACAGAATATTGCCAGCGTCAGAAACTCACCTGAGCCTTTGGTGTCTGGAGTTTGTGTTGGGACTCAATTACATACTGCCTACATGGCTGACCTTTAGTCTTTAGCCCTTTCCAGAGGTTCAGGCTAATACCTTTAGTCTTCATTTCTTTTGGAAATTGAGATGGACATACACGTCCTAAAACCTCCCTCAAAAGTCACATCATTAGACTGTTACGTGGCCAAAGCCCCCATTCAAAGAAAGACACTTCTAGCAGACAAGATACTCCAGATACCTAGTAATCACCTCTTAGTAGCCAAGGGCAGACAAAAGCCTGACCTCTCTTGGGGTAAAATTTGTTCTTCACTACACAGTAGTTAAGCAGTAATGAAAAGAGATATTTACCAAAGTTTTAATCACCTGGGAATATGCTTAGGTATAATGTTATGTGGGAAAAAGAGGATTATATATATGCACGAACCATGAGAGACAATGGACTCTGAAAAACAAACTGAGGGTTCTAGAGGGGAGGAGGGTGGGGGGATGGGTTAGCCTGGTGATGGGTATTAAAGAGGGCATGCCCTGCATGGAGCAGTGGGTGTTATACTCAAACAATGAATCATGGAACACTACATCAAAAACTAATGATGTAATGTATGGTGATTAACATAACATAATAAAATATATAAATACATATATGCAGTATGATCTTGAATATACAGTATCATGTGCAAATAGTGTTGTGTATTTCTTTTTTTTTTTTTTAGATTTTATTTATTTATTTGAGAGAGAGAATGAGAGAGAGAGAGCACATCAGAGGGGATAGGGTCAGAGGGAGAAGCAGACTACCTGCCGAGCAGGGAGCCCGATGCGGGACTCGATCCTGGGACTCCAGGATCATGACCTGAGCCGAAGGCCGTCGCTTAACCAACTGAGCCACCCAGGTGCCCAGTGTTGTGTATTTCTTATGTGATTTGATATACAGGAAAAAGACTGAAGGGAAATGCACCAAAATGCTAGCATAATTATCTCTGGGTGATGGAATTACGAGTATTTCCCAAATTTTCAACAATCAACATATTATTTCATTATTTAAAAATAACAAAGTTATTTTTCTCTTTTTATAACTACTCAATAGTAGAGAAATTTAAAATAGTTTATAAAAGGGGGCACCTGTGTGACTCAGTCAGTTAAGTGGCTGCCTTTGACTTGGGTCATGATCTCGGGGTCCTGGGATCGAGCCCCATGTTGGGCTCCCTGCTCAGTGAGGAGTCTGCTTCTCCCTCTGCCCCTCCCCCCAACTTGTGCTCCCTGTCTCCCTCTCTCTCTGTCTGTCAAATAAATAAATAAAATCTTTTTTAAAATAAATAAAGTAGTTTATAAAACTGTTTTGGGGGGCGCCTGGGTGGCTCAGTTGGTTAAGTGACTGCCTTCGGCTCAGATCATAATCCCAGAGTCCCAGGATCGAGTCCCACATTGGGCTCCCTGCTCAGTAGGGAGTCTGCTTCTCCCTCTGACCCTCCCCCCTCTCGTGCTCCCTCTCTCTGACCCTACCCCCCTCGTGCTCTCCCTGTGCTTCTCCCTCTGACCTTCCGCCACTCCCTCTCCCCCTCAAATAAGTAAATAAAATCTTCAAAAAAAAATAAAACTGTTTTGGGGATATGCAGAAAAAATTATAAGAGGAAGGAAGGATAAAAAATTGGAGATGACTACAAAATTTTTTTTGGAGATGAATACTGGATTTTAAGACTCATAATCACATTTTGAAGTTCCTGAAATGGGCATATATCTTATAATCAGTGTGTATATGTAATTTGGTAGTATTTCTTTTTCCCTATAAAGCTGTTATTAAATTGATGGTGTATCTTACAATCAATGATACATTAAAAGGTTTAAAACAAATCAGCAACTCAAATGCAAATCCGCAGACTAGAACTTTGCTATGAGAGGGACCACTCAGCTATTCTGCCATTTGTTTTTAAGGCTAGCACTCCATTCCCTGAAGTAAAAGTACTTGTCATGAGAAGAATTTCAAGTGTTTTAAGAGATCTGTTAGAAGATTAATGTCCTAAATGTACTATTATGTATTAGAAATTAAAGAAATTTTTAAAGAACCATTATAACAGTATAGCAGTGATTTTCTATTTCATATTTAGCCAGCTTTCATTGTGGTTTGATCATCTTCAAAAACAAATCCAGTGGGAATTTAGATGTTAATCGTTATATGAGTTTAGTCAATACGTATTTAACAAATCCCAGGTAAAGTAATTCACAGTGCCTTTGTTATTGTAGTATATTCTACATTTAAGTGAAATCAGATAAGTACTAGCATGTAATAAAAACTTATTTTTTATATTGAGTCCCAATCAGTGATTTTTTTTTTTCCAGACAACAACAAGACATAAAGTACTTATTATGGAATTTTGTCCGTGCGGAAGTTTATACACTGTTTTAGAAGAGCCATCTAATGCCTATGGACTACCAGAGTCTGAATTTTTAATTGTTTTGCGAGATGTGGGTACGTTTGTTTATCTGATTTTATAGATATGGGTGTATATAAGTTAATGACAGAATTTTTTTTTAAAGATTTTATTTATTTGAGAGACAGAGAGAGAGAGAGAGCGCACAGGTGGTGGGAGGAATGGGGGGGGAAGCAGGCTCCCCACTGAGCAGGGAGCCCGATGCAGGGCTCAATCCCAGGACCTCGGGATCATGACCTGAGCCGAAGGCAGGTGCTTAATCAACTGAACCATCCAGGTGCCCCAAGAAATTTTTTTTTTAAGTAGGCTCTGCACCCAGCATGGAGCCCAACACAGGGCTCGAACTCATGACCCCAAGATCAAGACCCAAGCCATAATCAAGAGTCTGACCCTTAACCGACTGAGCCACCCAGGTGCCCCTAATGACATAAGAATTTTAAAAGTAATATATTATTTTTATATTCAAAACCAAAGACCTTTATGCAGTGCTTTCTTAGATATGACACCAAGAGTATACATACAAAAAGAAAAAAATAGATAAATTGGACTTCATCAACATTAAAAACCTTTGTGTTTCAGAGGACAGTATGTGAAAAGACAACCCATAGAATGAGACAAGATATTTACAAATCGTATATCTGATAAGGAATTTTTATCCTGACAACTTAATCAAAAGACAAATGACCCAATTTAAAAATGGGCAAAAGGAAAAAATAAAAATAGGCAAATGATTTGATAAACATTTCTCCAAAGAAGATGTACATATATGGCCCACAAGCACACAAAATTACTCAAGATGATTTGTCATTAGGGAAATGCAAATCAAAACCACAAAGTGATACCACTTCATACCCACTAGCATGGCCAAATCGAAAAGATAAAACAGGGGTGCCTGGGTGGCTCATTCGGTTGAGCGTCCAGTTCTTGGTTTCAGCTTAGGTCATGATCTCAGGGTCATGAGATCGAGCCCCGTCTTGGGCTCCTTGCTTAGCAGGGAGTCTGCTTGTGATCCTGTCGCCCTGCCCCTCCCCCGACTCATGCATGTGCTCGCTCTCTCTCTCTTAAATAAATTAATTAATTTTAAAAAAAGACAAAAACAGGTGTTGGCAAGGATGTGAAGAAGTTGGACCCTCATATACAGCTGGTGGGATCGTAAAAAGGTACAGCCACCTTGGAAAACAATCTTAGCAGCTCCTCAAATATTAAACATAGAATTACCATGTGACTTAGCAATTCCACTGCTACGTATTTACCTAAAAGAATTAAAAACATACCCACACAAAAACTTGTACACCAGTATTCGTAATAGCCAAAAATGGAAGTAACCATTTGTGTCCATCAACTGATGTATAGACAAAATGTCCATTATCCATGCAATGACATATCGCTCCTTCATGAAAAAGAAAATGGGGCAGTTGGCTCACTCAGTCCGTAGAGCATGTGACTCTTGATCTTGGGGTCACAAGTCGGGCCTAGAGCTTACTTTAAAAAAAAGTGGTGATACATGCCGTAACATGGATGCACCTTGAAAAATTATGCTAAGTGAAGGAAACCAGACACAAAGGTCACAATATTTATGATTTCATTTATATGAAATGTTCAGAATAGGCAAATCCATAGAGACAGAAAGCAGATGAGTCATTGCCAGGGGCTTGAGGGGATGGCAGAGTGGAGAAGTGACTGCTAATGGGTATGGGGTTTCTTTTTGACGTAATGAAAATGTTCTGAAAATAGTGGTGATGGTGTACACTTTGACTCTTCTAAAAACTACTCAACTGTATACTTTAAAAGGCTGAATTTTATGATACATGAATTTTATCTCAAAGCTATTTAAAAAAAAAAAGAATATGGCAACCAAAGGGAATAATATCTTCTTGACGAGCAATGAATCAGTATTTGAGGAATGGGAAAAGTCCAGTGATAAAGAAGGCATAAGGTTAGTGGGAATTCTTGAACTTGACACTGGAAGCAGTGTGGAGACCCTTTAGGCAAGGATAAGAGGAGAGAGAAATAATATATGCTACAGCCTGTTTAACCAAGTAGAAGTTATAGATAATTGATGACTTCCTAAGTATACTGGTAACTCTGAATTTTCATAATTGAATGTGATGCCCCTAAGTTTATTTTCATATGTTATATTTGGACATTCATCTGTCAGCTGTCAAATATTTCATACTAGCGTACAGTGGCACTGCTTGTCAGTTAGCCAAAACAGTTTAATTTCAGCAATGTAGCCACCTTTACCCTTAAAAAAAAAAAAAAGGAAAATGACCTTTGAAGAATAGCTTTGAGCATGTAAGAAATACAGTCTGTGGAAGCCAGTCTGACACTTTGCCTCTATTACCTTTTTTCTGTTTTATGTATTGAGTCCAGTTTACTTTTTTATGGAATTTTTTACCATGGTAAAGAAATATGAAACTGGTGAAAGATTGCTTATTTCTCAGGAATCATTATTCTTAAGTTTAGGCAGATTACCCACATGTATATAACTAAAAGTAATTCAGGAAGTCATATGCTTAAGACCATTTTGTTCCATTTCCTAATAGTACTTAATTAAGAGAGATTGGACTCTTCCCTAGACCATATTGATCCTTACTCTTAAACTCTGTTACTCAGACATGAGATACAAAATGTAAATACCATCTATTCCTTCTTTGGTAAAAATGATTTTAGACCAATTTATGGAAAAACATATTGAGTGAATAGGAATGAATTTGATGTGCATGCACATAGATGCCTACATTATGCTTTCCTTTGTTTTATTTTAATAAGTCGGTGGAATGAATCATCTCCGAGAGAATGGCATAGTACACCGCGATATCAAGCCAGGAAATATCATGCGTGTTATAGGGGAAGATGGGCAGTCTGTGTACAAACTCACAGATTTTGGCGCAGCTAGAGAATTAGAAGATGATGAGCAGTTTGTTTCTCTGTATGGCACAGAAGAATATTTGGTAAGTCATGTATACTAATTTATTTAAAGCTGAATATGTTGTAAATAATGAGTAAATGGTCAAACTAGTTCACTATAAAATGTCTTAGTAACTTTTATGACAAAAATTAAACTTTTATTCTCATGTATATGGTGTGTAATGAGGGAATTAGATATTGGTATCTAAGGATGCTGTTATTTTTCTGTTAAAAATTCTTTTTTTTTTTTTGGGGGGACACCTGGGTGGCTCAGTTGGTTAAGCGACTGCCTTCGGCTCAGGTCATGATCCTGGAGTCCCTGGATCGAGTCCCACATCGGGCTCCCTGCTTGGCAGAGAGTCTGCTTCTCCCTCTGACCCTCCCCCCTCTCTTGTGCTCTCTCTCTCATTCTCTGTCTCAAATAAATAAATAAAATCTTAAAAAAAAATTCTTTTTTTTTTTAATAAAGATCTTATTTATTTGACACAGAGAGAGAGACACACAGCGAGAGAGGGAACACAAGCAGGGGGAGTGGGAGAGGGAGAAGCAGGCTTCCCACCGAGCAGGGAGCCCGATGCGGGGTTCCATCCCGGGACGCTGGGATCATGACCTGAGCTGAAGGCAGACGCTTAACGACTGAGCTACCCAGGCGCCCCTCTGTTAAAAATTCTTATAAGTTTTATAAAACTCAAGTTCTTTAATTTTATTAATACTGTGTATCTATATTAAAAGAAAAAGCTATATATACGTTTCAGAAGCACGTAGCTAGTAAATCCTCCCTTTTTTGGATCAGAGCAGTTAATATATTACAAGCTTGTTATGATATATCCCCTGTAAAGCAAAATTCATTATAATTCTGAAGCAGAAGATTCTATTCAGGGAGGTTGGTTATTGAAATACAGAAAGGAACATTATTAGAAACACAAAAAATGAAATGCTTTTGAAAAGATCTAACTTGAAATGCTAGAAAGCTAGAAAAGCTCTGTATTTGAAACTGTGTAGATATGTTTGTGGAAAGTTAGTAAGCATTTGAAACACTTAAGAAAATATACTTAAAAGTAAGTATGTTTAATTTTTCAAGGAACCACCGTACTGTTTTCTACTGTGGCTGCACCACTTTACATTCCCAGCAACAGTGCCTGAAGATCCCCTCCTTTTCCCCACATCCTTGCCAACACTTATTTCTTGTCTTTTTGATACCAGCCATTCTGACTGCTGGGAGGTGGTATCTCATGATTTTATTTGCTGTTCCCTGATGAGTAAGTGATCTTGAGCATCTTTCCCTGTGACCATTGGCCATCTGTAGGTCTTCTTCAGAAAAAATGTCTTTTCAGGTTTTCTGCCCATTGTTAATTGGATTAGTTGTGGGTTTTTTGGTGTTGAGTTGTATGAGTTCTTTTTTCTTTTTGAGAAATCTCTACACCCAACACGCGGCTTGAACTAAAAACCCCAAGATCAGGAGTCACATGCTCCGCTGACTAAACCAGCCAGGCTCCCCTGTATGAGTTCTTTATGTGTCTTGGATATTAACCCCCTACTGGAGATATCATTTGCAAATATCTTCTCCCATTTAGTAGGTTGCCTTTTCATTTCATTGATGGTTTCCTTTGAAAAGCTTTTTATTTTAGTGTAGTCCCAATAGTTTATTTTTCCTTTCATTTCCTTTGCTTGTGGTAACTACATATATAGTGGTGAGCTTTGTGTAATGTATAGAATTTTTTTTTTAAGTAGGCTCCCCACCCAGTGTGGGGCTCGAACTCACAACCCTAAGATCAAGAGTTGCATGCTCTACTGATTGAGCCATCCAGGCACCCCTAGAATTACTGAATCACTATGTTGTACACCTGAAACTAAAATAACGTATGTCAACTATATTTCATTAATAAAAATTTAAAATAAGTACATTTAACATGTAATCAGGAAGCTTATAAAGCTATCACTAACTGCTCATGGCTCTGGGCTTTATCTTTAAAGTCTTAGATTCTGGGGCACCTGGGTGGCTCAGTCGTTAAGCATCTGCCTTTGGAGATCGAGCTCCGCGTCGGGCTCGCTGCTCTGTGGGAGGCCTGCTTCTCCCTCTCCCACTTCCCCTGCTTGTGTTCCCTCTCTCGCTGTCTATCTCTGTCAAATAAATAAATAAATAAAATCTTTAAAAAAGAGAGAGAGAGAACAGGTAGAGAAAGGCCCAATGTATCTTGAAAAATAGTCTATGGAGCTATCCCCACCTCCCACCCCTCCTACACACCACACACAAAAGCCAGGGATTGTGACCCTTTGGGAGTCAGATTCATAGATTGCATCATTTAGAAACAGCCTCCTAGTAGTGTTATCTGCATTGGTTCCTGGGCCCTTGGGCCACAACCACATACCACAATGTCATAAGGCATTTGTTTTGATTTGGATGATCAAATCTTTGGTCATCTCTACTCTACTTTGGTCCATAGTACACGCTTGTAGCTTTATCCTCCAAGAATCTTAAAGTTCTAATGCATAACTTCTGTAAAGGCAGATGTCAGGAGGCTCAGCATGTAGGACTCCTGGTTGTATTCTGCAGAGCTAAATGTCCATTGGAATCTCTGTCTGGACCTGTAAGCTCCTAAGTCATGTCTGTAAGATTTATCTCTACTCCGGAACTCTAATATAGTGTCTCCTTGGCTTAAAGTCATGTGTTTAGCATCAGATCAGCTGCTTGTCTGGGTTGCTACATCCCCAGTCAACCCAGTCAGGCTAGTCCTCTGAAATAATTTTAGAAAATTTGATTTTTATCTCAGAATCCATCTGACTTGCTCTGATGGATTGCATGTCAGGGATGAGGAAAAGGAATCAAGGCTGCCTGAAAGGTTTAGGGTATAAGCAACTAGATAGATGGTGGTATTGCTTACTTAGAGGATAAAGATTAGAAGGAAAGCAGTCTGAGAGTGAAGACCAAGAGTCTATTTTATGTATGTGAAGTTTGAGCTACATTTTGGATATTAAAGAAAATAGTAGAATACATGAATCTGGAGCTCAGGGCGGGAGATAGTTTTGGGAGTTAAAGTATATAGATAAGGGGCACCTGGGTGACTCAGTGGGTTAAGCGTCTGCCTTCGACTCAGATCATGATCCTGGGGTCCTGGGATCAAGCCCCTGTACTGGGCTCCTGTGCCTCTCCCTCTGCCCCTCCTTGTGCCTGCTGCTCTGCCTGCTTGTGCTGTCTCTCTCTCTGTCAAATAAGTAAAATCTTAAAAAATATATATATAGATAATACTTAATGCCACAGGCCTAAATAGGAGATGAGGAAATAAGGCAGTTATAAGTGTGAACAGCTATTTTGAGAAGTTTTGCTATGGTGGGAAGCAGAGAATTGTCATAGGTAGAAAGGGTGATGGGGTCAATTTAGGGTTTTTTAAAAAAAATGGGAGATCTTCAGGATGCCTGGGTGGCTCGGTCAGATAAGTGTCCGACTCTTGATTTCAGCTAAGGTCATGATCTCAGGATCGCAAGATCGAGCCCTGTGTCGGGCTCTGCGCTGGGTGTGGAGCCTGCTTAAGATTCTCTCTCTCCCTCTCCCACACCCCCCAAAAAGAGAAAGAAAATGGGAGATCTTAAAGTATGTATGTAAGCTGAAAGGAATGATCCGATGGGGGAAATTGATACGTAAAATAAAAGGGGTAATTGCAGGAACTGATTTCCAGAATTGGTGAGACAATAGTGTGGGTTCCACAGCACAGATGGAAAAGTTAGCCCTTGATAGGAGCAGTTCCATCGTAACTGGAAAGTAGGCCTGGAGTCTGGACACAGATTGAGATAGGTTGGTATTTGATAAAAGGCATAGGGAGAATTGATCTCTGATTGATATGATGGAATTTGTAGGTGTTATTGAATACCCATTTATGTGTAATGTATTACTATAGAACCCAAGTTCGTTTCTTCATCCTTTTTTTTTTTAAGCATCCTGATATGTATGAGAGGGCAGTACTAAGAAAAGACCATCAGAAGAAGTATGGGGCAACAGTTGATCTTTGGAGCATTGGGGTAACATTTTACCACGCAGCTACTGGATCACTGCCATTTAGACCATTTGAAGGTCCACGTAGGAATAAGGAAGTGATGTAAGTGGTTTCTCTATCTAAAATTTGAAATAATTTTAAAAACGTATTTCTGTCTTTGTCTCATCACACATTAGGGGTGTATACTAATGAAAACTGATTTTAGCCATCATTTCTGGTATTTTAAGCTATTTTGTTTTGAATAAGAATACAGCTTTATAAAGTATATAGGCATAATTTTTCATACTGTGTTTAAGTATCTTACGTACAGTGAAATGGAATCAGTCTGTGGTCTGTTATTAAAAATATCCTGCTCTCTGGATTCTTTTTCAGCACACTGTGTATTTCTCTTTGTGTACCACTTATCGGGGGTTTTCCTTTCTATAACTGAAAAAAATAGTGTTTCTGTGGAGTACTAGAACCATTACCAGAGCTAAAAGAAATAAAATTTAAAAAAAAAGAAATGAAATTTTTACCCTGAACTGATTTCTTTTACCATTTCAGAAATAACATTTAATATACATACATATAACATTTAATAAATTTTTTTCTAGTGTTGTGGTTTCAGTCCAAAGACTGTATTTTATTAGTACATTATACCTTTATGTACTGCCATAATTATTGGGAAACAGTTACTGTATAAAATCACTGTTGTAAACCAAATAAAAATAAAGGAAGAAGGAGAAGGGCAGCTGGGTAGCTCAGCGGGTTAAGCGTCTGTCTTCAGCTCAGGTCATGATCCCAGGGTCCTGGGATCGAGTCCCGCATCGGGCTCCCTGCTCAGTGGGGAGCCTGCTTCTCCCTCTCCCTCTGCCCCTCCCTGTCCTCTCATGCTCTCTCTCTCTCAAATAAATAAATAAAAGGGAGGAAAGAGATGGAATTCTAGATGTGAAATTTTTTTTTCAAGATTTTATTTATTTATTTGACAGCGGGAGAGAGAACAAGCAAGGCGGGCAGCAGGCAGAGGGAGAGGCAGCCCAGTGTATCCAGTCCTTCTTTAGATCTTAACATTTCTCTCAGACCTTTATATTTAACCCTGCCTTTTGTAAGCAAACATGACTTGAATAATCACAACTATAAAAATATACTCTTTTCATCTAATCTCACTTCAGGAAATTGAGGGAGAAGGATATTTTTCTGTTTGTTGATTTGAGGAGGTAAAACCAGCTGATACAATGACTTTGGCTAAAACTCGGATATCTCAATGTTTTCGGCAAGAACAGTCTGCATATTCATGGGAAGAAGACATCCATTACTATACTGATGATTTTGGTATAACGCCATTTTGAGCCTGCTTTAAAGCAGTGCCCATTTTATAAAATCTCTTCATTAAAAAGGCTGAGAGCAATTTGTGTTTTTCTTGTTAAACGTAAATTGTACCTAACAGTTTAATCATGTTTTTATTGTCACACATACACTTTAAAGCTTTTGCGCATTTCTTGCTGCCCTAAAATTGGTTTAAATAAAAGCATGATGCTCCCTAATAAAGGAAACGTTTGACTCATCAGCAACTAGGAATACCTGATAATTTTGTCATCATGTGCACAGATACACCATTAGAAGAATTTATTTCTTTATATGCACAGCTTCTCATGAACACTGATAATGTTCAGAGGTGCTTAAAATAGTAATAAAAACTGTTTTACTATTGAAGGATGCATTCATCTCACATTATAGTAGTGTTGTTCCCTCAGCATCTCATTTACATGTTAGTGTATTTATATGTGGGTCTTATCAAAATTAGTAAAGCTTTTCCAAAAATTTTAAGGATTCTGCCATCATTCTATTCACTTCTTTCTTGCATTAGTCTCACATATCTCTACTTATTCCTTCACAGTCAGATCTTTCTCGTGTGAGTGCAACTTATTTTTCACATTAAATTCCTTCTTTGAAAAATATGTTAAGGCAGGACTCCTGGGTACCTCTCCTGAGAAAGCAGCATGTGGTCCAGATCAGTGGTACCTGGTGTCTTCTGCTTTTATAAAGAATATATTGATTTGCTCAGAGCACATATATGTAGACCTTAAACAAACAAAAAATTATGCCAGAGGGGCTCCCGGGTGGCTCAGTCAGTTGAGCATCTGCCTTCGGCTCAGGTCATGATCCCAGGGTTCTGGGATCGAGCCCCATGTCGGGAAGCCTGCTTCTCCCTCTGCTCCCTGCCCCCTGCTTGTGTTCTCTCTCTCTCAAAATATTTTTTAAAAATTATGCCAGAAATAGTATCTATCCACTTATGTAAGACTGCTGTACTATGTTTTGCATTTTCATCTGGATGAAAGTATTTTTTTTTTTAAAGATTTTGTATATTTATTTGACAGAGACATAGAGCAGGAACACAAGCAGGGGGAGTGGGAGAGGGAGAAGCAGGCTTCCCGTGGAGCAGGGAGCCCGATGTGGGACTCGATCCCAGGAGCCTGGGATCATGACCTGAGCCGAAGGCAGATGCTTAACGACTGAGCCACCCAGGCGCCCCAAGATGAAAGTATTTTTGAAGGCATGGAACTTTACTTCTTTCCCACTTGTTGAGGAAAGTGCTGAAACCCGCCAGGCTGCTCTCTTTGACTCGCTCCCCTGCCAGCCCTTTCTCCAGGTCTTCTTTATTTTTATCACCTACCTCAAAGATCCAGTTAAATTTGTCTTTTAATTTTGGTACACACACCTATTCCTGTATGTTTATGTATTTTTTCAATTTGCAAAGAATCTTTCCGATACTGTGCTGTGTGGTGTGTTGTCTTGTTTAAAAAAAAAAAAAATGCTACTGTTCATTCTGCAATAATTTCATAGTCCAGTTGCCTGCCTTTGGATAATATGGGTAAAAGGGATTTTTATGGCCTAGAAACATTCTGTAACGTAACTTTTTTTGTGTTTGCTCGATTTTTTCAGATGGAAAAATTAATATTTTTGTTGTGAACATCAAGATGCTGTTATATGGCACTCTGAGATCCCAATGAAAATTAATTATGGCATATATAAAATAATCGTACAACCACTATTCTACTTCAGTCAGTCAGATTCAAAGTATTTTGAGTGTTTTATGGATCCTGTGAACATCAATCACAAAGTTTCGTCTAGTAGATAATTGTAGGTGCAACTGAGGAAATATTTTTGCAAAGCCCATTGATACGCTATGCATTAATGAACTACTTATTTTATTCTGCATTTATTCCTCCCAAGGTATAAAATAATTACTGGAAAGCCTTCTGGTGCAATATCTGGAGTACAGAAAGCAGAAAATGGACCAATCGACTGGAGTGGAGACATGCCTATTTCTTGTAGTCTTTCTCGGTCAGTATGGTGTATCCAGTTCTCTTTTGCACTTTGCTGTTTGAAATCTTTGTTGACTAAAATCACAAATACTTAGTGTAATTTGGTTCGGGTTACTATATTTTAGATGTGCTTTGAAGTATGATTTTTGTCTTTGTGGCAATGTAAAGATTAACTCTGATCTATATAAATAGTTTTGCCAGATCTCTATTAGGACAGAGGGCATACATTTTTGAGGTTGCTAATCACTGTAGAATTCTGTCCACTGTAGAATTCTGTCCACTGTAGAGATTCAGCTTTGAGGACCTTGGTATCTTTTGTTCTGACCATCCATATTGACAGACCACAAACATTGGTACAGATGGGAATAACTAGAATTCTAAAACACAAACATTCAAAAAGTTTGGTATTATCCTCATTTTAAAAAGTATTCATATTATTGAAAAGGTGAGAATTAATAGTTTTCTACTACTTTTTTCACTATTTCAAATGTTCATATGGGTCTTATTTAACTTGGTAACCAGAATTCAAAAAAATTATATTGTCAGACATGAATTCTGTTACCACAAAGAAAAATTTAAGGAGAAAGAAATTAAAAGTAGAGAGTAAGTTATTTTAGATTTTACTCTGGAAATAAAGCCAAGGCATTCATCAATATTTAGAATTTCTGATTACTGAATTAACTTCCATTTTTCCTGATCATGGGAGTTATGTAATCTACAAGTAACATAGGTTATGATTTACTGGCTTAACATCTGGGTGCTTTTTATATGACTTTCTATAAATAAATAAATTAAGTATTTAATATTTTAAATATTAGATATTACTCATGTAAACCATATATATCATAAACTAATAAAATATCTTTTATATTTTGATGTCTGTGAAACTCTAAGAGTTCTTCTAAAATCTTTTTTGTGTTTTTTGGGTTTTTTTACTTAAAATTTTTTTTTTATTTGAGTATAGTTTACACACAGTGTTACATTAGTTTCAGGTATACATTTACATTAGTTTCAAGTGTGCAACATGGTGTAAAATCATTTTTGAGAACCACTAGTCTGAAAGTTTCATTTTTGTGTGTTGCTTAAAAAAAGTCTCCAAAATGAAATTGGGTCATGCAGCCAGAATTAACAGAGAAATACATTTTATTGGAGACTAGAAATTGAATATTTTAATAATAGTTCGTGTTAAATTTTGATTTAGAAAATACTCATTTTTGGAATTTCAGGCAAAACTGATAAAATGTAAAGAGGTCAGGAAGTGAACACTGGCTAATAATTATATTGTTGAAACTCAGAGTCAGTAATTTGGCAGTCTGAGCTACAGATTTTGTATTTCAGGAGAGTAGCAGGTCTTTCTATCAGTATTTAGCACACCAAGTTCAAAATTCTTTGATAAAAATTGCTTAGGTACCAGAAAGTATATAATCTTGTTTTCTTTTTTTAAATAGTAAGGACTTTAAGTACTACAAATCAGCAATGAAAACAACTATCAAAAATACAAAAACTGTAAAAAAAAAGATAACGATTATTATATGTATTAGCCAAGACTGGGTAGCAAGTGAGAAAGACCGAACTCAGCTGGTTTAAGTGAAAACGGATATAGATTGACCTTGGAATTAGAAGTTCATGTGTGTGGGGCGCCTGGGTGGCTCAGTCGGTTAAGCGGCTGCCTTCGGCTCAGGTCATGATCCCAGGGTCCTGGGATCGAGCCCCACATCGGGCTCCCTGCTCAGCAGGAAGCCTGCTTCTCCCTCTCCCTCTCCCTCTGCTCCTCTGCCCTGCTCGTTCTCTCTCTCTCTCTCCCCCTCTTCTCTCCCATTCAAATAAATAAATAAATATCTTAAAAAAAAAAAAAAAAAAAAAGTTCATGTGTGTATGTGATTCAAAGCCCAGCTGAATCCTTGGACTCAGACTGTGATACCAAGACTTGGTCTCTTCAATCTGATTTGTCTTTACTCTAGGTCAGGCTGTGCTGGCAGCCACCAGGTAGCTGCTGCCATTCCCAGACTCACATTCTCAAAGCTTTGAAAGCTCAGTGGGAAGACAGACCGATAGCAAAGATTTCTGGGTTGATTCTCATTTAACTAACTTGCATGCTACCACCTGTCCACCTCTAACTAATCGGAATAACCACACCAAGGAATTATTCCAGTGTCTGTTATGTAGTCAAGAATGTATTTTAGGGGCACCTGGGTGGCTCAGTCAGTTAAGTGCCCAACTCTTGATCTCAGGTGTCAATCTCATGGTTGTGAGCCCATGCCCCGCTTTCGGCTTCAAGCTGGGCATGGAGCCTACATTTTTTTTTTTTGAAAGATTTTTTATTTACTTATTTGACAGAGACAGCGAGAGCAGTAACACAAGCAGGGGGAGTGAGAGAGGGAGAAGCAGGCTTCCCGCTGAGCAGGGAGCCCGATGTGGGACTCGATCCCAGGACCCTGGGATCATGACCTGAGCTGAAGGCAGACACTTAACGACTGAGCCACCCAGGCGCCCCTGGAGCCTACATTTTAAAAAATATATATATATTTTGGGCGCCTGGGTGGCTCAGTTGGTTAAGTGACTGCCTTCAGCTCGGGTCATGATCCTGGAGTCCCGGGATCAAGTCCCACATCGGGCTCCCCGCTCAGCGGGGAGTCTGCCTCTCCCTCTGACCCTCCCCCCTCTCATGCTGTCTCTTTCTCTCTCATTCTCTCTCTCAAATAAATAAAAATCTTTAAAAAAAAAGAATATATTTTAAAAACTACTTGAAATTCCATAATTGAGAGTCTATTTGAGTATATTGTATAATTCAGTGAAAGCATGAGAAAAAAATAAAGGTCTTTATTTTTTTTCATTTTTTTTTTTAATTTCAAGCTTATTAGTCAAAAATTATCCCTGGTTGAATTGGCACTAATTGATTGCTGGATGGTTAATTTTACTTCCTAAAGAAGTATACTACAAAAAAAAGGTGTATAAGTTCAACATTAAAAATTATATATTGGAGAGCCGTATTAAAAGGACATTAAAGATCCTGAAATTAAACCATTATCTTATCATCATGACTGCCTGGTTCTAAACCACTGATCTCACCTGGATGGCCATGTATGTACAATGTTAGAGTGTGTTTGGAAAAGTAAGAAAACTTGGGAAGGAACAAATCAAAATAATCAGTAAAAGATAAGTTAACATTAAAAATACCATAACCCCTCATTCATTGACAAGTAATTTTAAACCGAGGTTACCTGACTTTCTGAAAAGTTGGCAGATTTTTTAAAATTTTGTATCAGGGGAGCCTGGGTGGCTCAGGTCATGATCCCGGAGTCCCGGGATCAAGTCCCCCTGCCGAGCAGGGAGCCTGCTTCTCCCTCTCCCTCTGCCCCTCACCCCACTTGTGCTCTCTCTCTCTCGCTCTCAAATAAATAAAATCTTTAAAAAAATTTTTAGATCAATCTTAAGTAATAGCAGTTACTTTGATTTGTTTTTTTTTTAATATTTTTTTTAAAGATTTTATTTATTTATTTGACAGAGAGAGACACAAAGAGAGAGGGAACACAAGCAGGGGGAGTGGGAGAAGGAGAAGCAGGCCTCCCGCCGAGCAGGGAGCCCGATGCGGGGCTCGATCCCAGGACCCTGGGACCATGACCCGAGCCGAAGGCAGACGCTTAATGACTGAGCCACCCAGGCACCCCATTACTTTGATTTGTTGGTAAATATTATGATTTTGTACCTAGACAAAATAAAACATTCACTCTTCAAGTAACTTTTTCAATACTATTTTAGGGGTCTTCAGGTTCTACTTACTCCTGTTCTTGCAAACATCCTGGAGGCAGATCAGGAAAAGTGTTGGGGTTTTGACCAGTTTTTTGCAGAAACTAGTGATATACTTCATCGAATGATAATTCATGTTTTTTCGCTACAACAAATGACAGCTCACAAGATTTATATTCATAGCTATAATACGTAAGTACCTTTTTATGTTTTCATCCTATATCATAATGTTGTGTTTTATAATTATCCTCCTAAATTAGTAGAGGAAATGGAAAAGATGTCTCAGCTTCTCCAAAGGCACCCACTTCCCACTTAGGAAATTATGTTTGAGTGCTTAGTAAATTCTTTCTCACTTATTTTTGGCATGAAAGGGTTAATTTTCTACTTTTATAAAATTTACAGGCAACTTAGTTTGTTCTTAAACTGCAAGTTTTACAAGACTATTTCTGTTTCTACAGCTTGTCTCTTAGATAATCACATAAGCACAAATAACATCTGCCAGTAAATGGGCTGGGTTTTATTAAGAGTACTGTCCTGTCAGGGTCACCTGGCTGGCTCAGTCATTAGAACATGCGACTCTTAGTCTCCAGGTGCTGAGTTCAAACCCCATGTTAGGCATAGGACCTACTTTAAAAAAAAAAAAAAAAAAAGACAAAAAAATTTAAGAGTACTGCCCTGTCATTTAAAAAACATTTAAGCATAAGTCTTAAATATAGTTAGTGTAGTTATTATTTGCATATGTGGCATAAACCCCTTATTAGGTGCTGGAGTAATAAGCATTTGTTTTACCTAAACAAAAACACATTACACCTATATTATTTTTAAAAAATCTACCTATGTGATAGAATCACATATAACTAAATATACACACACGTAAAACTAGGGAAATCTGAATGTCATAGGTGGATTATATCAGTATCAATATCCTGTTTGTAATATTATATTATATGCAAGATGTTACCATTGGGAGAAACTGGGCAAAGGGTATATAGCATCAAAGTGTATTTTTTCTTAGAACTGCATGTGAATCTACAGTGATCTCAAAATGTTTTTTTAAAACGAAGGGGGGGAAAAAACGTTATACCCATTCTGTGTGTCTTAGTGTCTGTTTTGACAAGATTCAAATAGTAGTTTTGATGTCTCATAAAACTCATAAAGAGACCTTTACTGGCAATTTATTAAGGAGTAAAACCAATTAGATAAAATCATATTTAAATTTTAATATGTAATATGTGTAATATACTGATAATATTATAAACATTAAGTAGAACATCAATATAAAATAATACTAATATAACATTAGGTTAAATATATATTATTCATCTTTGTTTTAGTATGTAATAGCCTGAATAAGTGTGTATCATAGGGGCACCTGGGTGGCCTGGTCAGTTAAGCAGCCAACTTGATTTTGGCTCAGGTCATGATCTCAGGGCCCTGGGATCCAGCCCTGAGTCTGGCTTTGAGCTCAGCAAGGAGTCTGCTTGTCCCTTTCCCTCTGGTCCTCCCCCTGCTCCTGATCTCTCTCTCTCAAATAAGTAAAATCTTAAAAAAAAAAGTATCATAGTTAGGTGCTGGCCACTATTTCATTTTAAGAGTACATTTGAACATAAAAAGCCCACTCAAGCCTGAGCCAAATCACAGCATTGCTGCTGAAATGTTTCTTTGGTTGCATAGGTCTATTCAGGGAGAATCTGACTTTTTCCCCAAAACATCATTTTGAAAAAATCTGGCTTCATTCATTTAACAGATATTATACAGTCATATCGCAGAGACTGTTCTCAGCTATTTGAGGCATTTAATCCTCCCCATGGTTCTGTGAGGTGGGTGATACTGTTTGCATTTTATAGGCGAGGAAACTTAGCACAAAGGAGTTAAGTAACTTAAGGTGACTCAGCAAGTAAGTAGAACTGGAATTTGAGCCCAGGTAGTCTGATCTAGAGTCTGTGCTCCGAAGTGCTCTGCTGTGTTGGCTCCCTGTTATTAAACATTAAGAATCCTCTATCCTACACATATCCAACATGGGTGTTCAGACATAAAAGTATTTTAGAATTGATTGCTTTCTAGACAGGTTATGTGGAATTTTCATTTTAATAGACATCACAGTACCCACATCAACAAAGCAGTGTTATCTATAGACTGGGCATGATCTGAAGTATCACATAGAAATGAATGTTGTTATACTCAGCACAAAAAAAAAATTTTTTACTTCTTACTCCATCCCAGTTATGTTGTCCTTTTGAATTTTCCTCACACAGTGCTACTGTATTTCATGAACTGGTGTATAAACAAACCAAAATTATTTCTCCAAATCAAGAACTCATATATGAAGGACGACGTTTAGTCATAGAACCTGGAAGACTGGCACAGCATTTCCCTAAAACAACGGAGGAAAATCCCATCTTTGTAGCAAGTCGGGAACCTCTGAGTACCATAGGATTGATATATGAAAAAAGTAAGTTGGGATTTTCGTAGTGATCTTGCTAGCCATTAAAAAAAAAAAAAAAAAGATGACCTGTGGGGCACCTGGGTCGCTCAGATGGTTAAGCGTCTGCCTTTAGCTCAGGTCATGAGCCCAGGGTCCTGGGATCGAGTCCCGCATCGGGCTCCCTGCTCCTTGGGAGCCTGCTTCTCCCTCTGCCTCTCTCTCTCTCTCTGTCTCTCATTAATAAATAAATCTTTTAAAAAAAATAAAAAATTAAAAAAAGATGACCTATGGGGCACCTGGGTGGCTCAGTCAGTTCAGCATCTGCCTTCGGCTCAGGTCATGATCCTCGGGGTCCTGGGATCGAGCCCCGCATTGGGCTCCCTGCTCGGCGGGAAGCCTGCTTCTCCCTCTCCCACTCCCTGTGCTTGTGTTCCCGCTCTTGCTGTCTCTCTCTGTCAAATAAATAAATAAAATCTTAAAAAAAAAAAGATGACCTGTAAAAATAATTGGCATTTTCATAAAGTTGATTGATGACAGTAATGTAGAATTTTCATAAACATTAAAATTTTGTAAGGTAGTTGAATGAGACTAGTAATAAAATTGAAAAGCCTTTGTAGACTACAATAATTTGACTTTAAATACTTTGTTTCAAAAAATGGTAAATTAGTTTGGCATGTATGTTTTACTGTAGCTCTCTGCTTTTAGTATTTTACTAACACTCAAAATAACTTTTTGTATCATAAATATGAGCAAATGTTTATTGTGTCCAGTGTGAATAGGACACTGCCAGGCTTTGGAGTCTAAGAAAAATTAGATCTATATTTTGGGATCTTAAATTATTAATCCTACTGGTGAAAAAAATAAATTACCCAGATTTTTACTTTTCTTTTTGGATCTTTCGGATTTGATTTAGATTTAAAGAGAAGCATTGAGCTTATTGTGTGGGAATATATTTAAGAAAAAATTGAACTGCTTAGAAATATTTCAGGTAATTTGTTAAGGAATGAGCATTGTTTCAAGTGATCTTTTTTTAACCTGGAAAAGAACTTTAAAGAGTTTTCTACTAATGTTTAATTTAGAGGTAATTTAGCGATTAATGTTTAAATTTTAAAATTGCTATATAAAGGATATAATAATTTATTCAAAATACTTTATTTCTCATTTTTATTATTTTACTTCATATTTCAGTTTCCCTCCCTAAAGTACACCCACGTTACGACTTAGATGGGGATGCTAGCATGGCTAAGGTTAGTATTTAATTAAATTACTATGAAAAAGAATTACTATGTAAACATCTGAATTAAAATTATCAATAGTGGAAGCAATAAAGTATATTATCTTTACATATGCCTGTGTGATCTAGGAAATTATTCATTTAAATGATTATCCATTGCAAATTATTTTGTGTTCTTTCTTCTTTATATCTTTTCTTGAACTCCTAAGAAAATTTTCTCTGTAGAGGCAGTGCATTTTTAACATTATCATGTTAAGAATAAAATATTTAAAGAAAAAAAAAGAATGAAATATTTATTGTATCTGTCCTTAGCTTTTAGAAATTGGTAGTTTGTGTTTTTAATTAACCTGATAAAAATATATAAGCTTGAAAATTGTTATGTAGAAGTTTTTTCTTACCCTGTACCACAGTTAGCACCAAATATTATGTTTCTTCATTAGGCAATAACAGGAGTTGTGTGTTATGCCTGTAAAGTTGCCAGTACCTTGCTGCTTTATCAGGAATTAATGCGAAAGGGGATACGATGGTTAATGTAAGTAATAGATTGAAATTTGAAAATACGTGGTAACCACCCCATCATTGATACTTCACCTCTTCAGACTAGATAGGGTCAAGTGCTTGGGGTTTTTTTGTTGTTTCATTTTGTTTTGTTTTTAAAGATTTTGTTTTGGGGCGCCTGGGTGGCTCAGTCGGTTAAGCGTCTGCCTTCGGCTCAGGTCATGATCCCAGGGTCCTGGGATCGAGCCCCACATTGGGCTCCCTGCTCAGCAGGAAGCCTGCTTCTCCCTCTCTCTCTGCCCCTGCTTGTGTTCCCTCTCTCGATGTCTCTCTCTGTCAAATAAATAAATAAAATATTAAAAAAAAAAAAACAATTCTCTAAAAAAAAAAAAAAAAGGTTTTCTTTTTAAGTAATCTCTGCACCCAGTAGTGGGGCTCAAACTCATGAACCTGAGATCAAGAGTCACATGCTCCACCAGCAGGGCCAGCCAGGTGTCCCTTGGGTTTTAGTATAATACATTGTTTCACGTTTAGTTTACAACACATTTAGCAGTATATTTTTTCATTTGATTCCTACAACAACCTTGTGAGACAGATAGGACAAATAGTATCTGAATTTTAAAACTTAATGCCACACTGTACAATGTGATGGTAAATGCTGTCTTTTTCCAAGGACCTTGACTGGGGGCTGTCATCTCACTATCTTGGTAGGCTTTGTCATTTTTTTGTTTTGTTTTGTTTTTAAGATTTCATTTATTTAGTTGAGAGAGAGAAAGAGCTCGAACAAGGGGAAGAGGCAGAGGGAGAGGGGGAAGCAGACTCCCTGCTGAGCAGCCTGATGTGCAGCTTTGATCCCAGGACCCCAGGACCATGACAAGAGCCGAAGGCAGACACTTAACTGACAGAGCCACCCAGCTGCCCCGGCTTTGGTGGTGTTATAATGCAGTACAATCTGTACTTGTTCTAGAGTTTATGTCCTCAGAATCTTCCTTTCTTTCTTGCCTTTTTCCCAAATGAAGGATACTCTCAACTTTATTTTTCTAACAGCATTATTGAGCTATAATTCACATACTGTTTAATTCACCCATTTTTAAGTGTATAATTCAATGATTTTTAGTGCATTCACAGAGTTGTGCAGCCATCACCACTCATTGTAGAATATTTTTGTCACCCCAAAAAGAAATCCTGTACACATTAGCAGTCACTCCCCATTTCCCCCATAACCTCCTAGCCCCAGGCAACCACAAATAGGTTTTCTATCTATATAGATTTTCCTATTCTAGACTTTTCATATGAGTGAAATTATACATGGGACGCCTGGGTAGCTCAGTTGGTTGAGCGACTGCCTTCAGCTCAGGTCCTGATCCAGTCCTGGGATCGAACCCCACATCAGGTTCCCTGCTCCTCAGGGAGCCTGCTTCTCCCTCTCCCTTTACCTGCTGCTCCCCCTGCTTGTGCTCTCTCTCTCCCTCTGTCAAATAAATAAAATCTTTTTTAAAAAATGAAATTACTTTTTTTTTTAACTAAATCACTTAATATAGTTATCCTAGGTCAGAATATTGATCATCTAGTTAAGTGTTCTCTTCCCCTGAAAGTAACTCTAAGAAATATTTTGTGGATGAATATGATTTGCTCTTTTTTCATGATTTGTAGATCCTCCTTTCCTCTGCTAGAAGCAGAGAATAAATGGTCTCCCTTGAACATCATGCCTCCAGTTTCTGTATATCATTTGAGGCTTTTGATTTTTATATACACTTAGTAATGGCTTCATGTTCCCTGGGCTCATAGTGCTCCTTATCTTTAATGCTTGTGACAGTTTATGTATATCTGCCTCACACGTATTCTTCCCTTCTTGCAAAAACATGTATGAGGCATTTCATCATTCCTGTTCTGCTGGTGCTTTAAGAAGAAAGAAGAATGACACTTTTTTTTTGCCTGTCACCTTTATGTTAAATCCATAAATTGATGGGGTTTTTTAGGTGTTCACATATCCAGCTTGTAAGCCTATGCTTTTCTCTTTCCATTAAGAAGCCCTTTTCCTTTTTACTAAATAATTTCTAGAAAACTCTTTAAGTGTTGACTCTGTTTACTTTTGTGGTATTGTTACTAACAGCTCTCGTGTTCTCTTGCTCTTGTTATCTACCACAGTCACTGCTCCATAAAGCTTTTGTTTCTTTTACCTATTAACTTTTAGTTTAATAAGTCATGTGAGGGTGCCTGGGTGGCTCAGTTGGTTAAGCTACTGCCTTCGGCTCAGGTCATGATCCTGGAGTCCTGGGATCGAGTCCCACATCGGGCTCCCTGCAGAACAGGGAGTCTGCTTCTCTCTCTGACCCTCCCCCCTCTCATGCTCTCTCTCTCTCTCATTCTCTCTCTCAAATAAATAAATAAAATCTTAAAAAAAAAAAGTCATGAGAAAATAGTTTTTTGCTTTGTTTTTTGGTTTTGGGGTTTGTTTGGTTTTTTTTTTAAATAGTTTTTAGTGTAGATCACTGTTGATAAACTTTTTCAGTTAGTAAATATTTTAGACTCTGTGGGCCACATAAGGTCTCTTCTTTGTTTTTACAACCTTTGAAAATATAAATGTCATTCTCAGCAAAAACCAGTTTAGTTTGTTGACCCTTAATGTAGACCAAAAGCCCTCCGGTTTTATTATTTACTATGTCATCTTGCTTCTTCAGAGATCATAATCTATGGATAATAAAAATTAATTCTGGTATAAAGCATAATGCTATTTAGCTTATTCATGTGATTATAGATTTGCTTTTATTCCTTAATAATTTTAATGCCTTAGATTTCCAAACTCTTAACTTAATAAGTAGTAATTAATGGTTTGTGCCCTGGATAAGTATAGGGCTCACAGTAATGCTTCCAGTAATAAAAAGTAAATTGGCAAGACTCAGCCCAAGGGGGAAAAAAATGAATTGGCTTTCATAATATAACAAGATTGTTAATAAATTTGTCTGAACGGTAGTAACAGCAGTGTAATTAGTGATAAACAAGAGAAAACTTTTTTAAAAAACCAAATCATTCCTTAGATAAACTAATGAGAATATTACTATTTTTTAGAGAATTAGTTAAAGATGATTATAATGAAACTGTTCACAAAAAGACAGAAGTTGTGATCACACTGGATTTCTGCATCAGAAACATTGAAAAAACTGTGAAAGTGTGAGTAGATTACTTCCTTACTAATAGTGGTTAAAATGTTAAACATTGTCCCATTTCTCTTTCATTATTTAGTTATCCTTGGCATAATACAGTATGCTATGCAAGTGTTTGTATTAAAGTACAACCATAGATTAAGTTAATTCCTCACAAAGACAAAATTTAGTTGTCTCAGTAAGAAATGAACATTTGGTGGCATTTTCTCCTACCCTTTACAAAGGAAAAGGTGATCTGACATAAAAACACCTCATTTTTAAACCTTGCAAATTAGACACTGAATAGGAAAATATAAAAACTGCAGTCAACAAAGGAAGTAGGAAGGAGTATTCTAGAACTGTATTTTGGTAGTATTTATAGAATTTGGGGATTACTTTTAGTTTATTATTACTTATTAATTAATCTTATCCCTGAGACTGTTTTTTGAAACAGAATGATATTTTAGATTTCCCCGTTCCTAGGCTGTATTATTTATACTGCAGAGGAAATACAGTAAATGAAATCAGTATGTACTATTCTGCAATCTAGTATTTTGACTATTATCCTGGCATTAGACTTGGAAATTGTCTTTTTTATTTTATCTCGTATAAAAATTTGTTAGTAGAAGTATAAAAAATTCCTTCTTCACAGAGACAGCAAGTTTTCTTGGAATCTGTTGCTTGTAGGCTTTGCATTCAGTATTTTATTCTTAAGTAGTTATAATAAAAATTCAGATCTAATTTGTAAAAACACCTTTTAAAATCTATATATTCATTATGCTCATTTAATTTTTCCATACTTGTTTTTCATACAGATATGAAAAGCTGATGAAGATCAACCTAGAAGCAGCAGAGTTAGGTGAAATTTCAGACATACACACCAAGTTGTTGAGAGTAAGTATTCACAGAATTATGACAGTCATTGGGACCATGCTCATGGTTCTCCTATTTGACTTTCATAACAACTCTATGAGATATAGACCGTTAACCATATTTTACAGGTAAAGAAACAAGGTTAATTGAATGAAAGGATTTTGTATGTTTTTTAAGAAAGGATATTTAATGTAAGAAATGTTTTAATACTAGTTAATCTCATATTTTATTATCATATAATACTCTTTGTGGAAAATCAAACCAAGAAACTGTCCTTGCCTTTAAAAATAAAAATAATTTTTCTGACTTTGAATTGACGTAATCCACAAAAGCAGTACAATTAAGACTTTAGACTCCTTTGGCAATGTATCATTTCTGTATTTTGCTAATCTGAATCTCAACCCACTGGTTTTATTTAGCTTTCCAGTTCTCAGGGAACAATAGAAACCAGTCTTCAGGATATCGAAGGCAAATTATCTCCAGGTGGTCTGCTGGCAGATACATGGGCCCATCAAGAAGGCACTCATCCAAAAGATAGACAGTAGGTTATATAATTTTATTGGTAGCTTCTGCTCTTATTATTAAATGTCCTTTTTCACATTGACTCAATTAATTTATTTGGATTTTTTTCCCCCTACGTAGTGTAGAAAAGCTACAAGTCCTGCTAAATTGTATCACAGAGATTTACTATCAGTTCAAAAAAGACAAAGCAGAACGAAGTAAGTAAAGTTTGCCATTTGTTAATGTAATGAATCAGCTCTACTAGTTGTAATTCAGTTGAATTAATTTGGTATATTTATGGGGTGGCTCCTTAAGTTATTTCAACACTCATAGATTTCCCCCTTGTTTACATGTGACAAGGCCAGACTCAACCCTCCAATTCCCATTCTTTGTCTTGTCAGTGATTTGAACCCTATCTCCCCTGACCAGTCTAGATAATACCTGACTTGACCAAACCTGAAACTTCTTTCCCTACCCACGTCCCTGAACTTTGACCCACCTTTGCCCCAAACAGCACACAGCCCCTCCTGAAGGGCCCTCCTCAGAATAAACTGAGCTTAGAGTCCTCATGCTCTACTGTCCTGTCCATCTCCCCACACCCAGGGAACATCTTCAGTCCTCCCTAGTGAAGGAAAGCCCTTCTCTGCCTAATCTTTGAACGCTCCCAGATCTCCCGATGAGAGGGGTTGCCCGTTTGCCATAGTCCCTTCCCCTTCTTGCAAGAATCCTTTACAATAAAGCGTCTTCTTAACCTAAATCCAAAAAAAAAAAAAAAAAAAATTGGTTCTGTTGGGAAGGAGATATACTAAAAATTATTCTTAAAACCAACTTTTTGAATATTTTAAATTAAGGGTTCTGAACTCTAAAATCTCTAGAGACCAGTCATGTAACAGAAAGGAATGGAATCGGCCAGTGGAGACTGAGGAGGGTAGGAGAGGAGATACCCATGTGAAGGGGAGAGTCACTACTCAGATTCACCAAAGTCATTGCCCAAAAATCTTCCTATTCTCAAGAGAAGCTGGAAATACAGATTTTATTAGAAATACCTTGTGGGCACCTGGCTAGCTCAGTCAGTGGAGCATACGACTCTTGATCTCGGGGTCATGGGTTGAGCCCCACATTGGGTGTAGAGAGTACTTAAATAAGTAAATAAGTCTTTAAAAGAAAGAAAGAAAGACCCTGATTTTTAAATGTTGGCAGTTAATTTTTTTTATGTTAACACTGTACAGATCAGTTAAAAGCATCTGTGAGCTGTATATCTAACCCATGCGTCATGAGTTTGTGTCATCTAACTCTTAGCCTTTTTGAAGTCATAATCTCGAAAGAAAAAGAAGTGTGCATGATTTTGTGATTCTACATTTACAGAAGTAATATTTCTTATTTTTAGGATTAGCTTATAATGAAGAACAGATCCACAAATTTGATAAGTAAGTGTCCTTATTGTATTTAACAATTATTTTTGGTTATGTTATTAATATAATTCCTCTCAAAGTTGAAATTAATTATAATAAAAAAATACATTTTAATCTTGGCTTTACAGAATTGTTACTGTGTGTGCACATATTTGAGGCCACTTGTCTGGTCCCTGGTTGAGAGGTTAAGGAGAAGGGAGAATGAGGGGGCATCTTCTACATCATGTGCTTTGATTGCAGAAGGATAGATAGTAGAGAACATAGGCAAGGACAGATTTAACCTCTTTCTTAACTTCATTAAATACGTTCTGACCATTCTCCATTATGAACCTTCTCTTTCACTTCTTGCTGCTATAATGTGTATCTTAGAAACCTTTGGCTTTCTACTATAAATATTCTAAAGCCACACAGTCATTATTAAGAAACATAAATTTTATGTATTTGAAAAGTTTTTAATATTGGAAATAGAAACCATCACATTGGTTTAAGCCTGTGATTATTTCTAAATTATAGGCAAAAACTGTATTACCATGCAACAAAAGCTATGACCCACTTTACAGATGAATGTGTTAAAAAATATGAGGCATTTTTGGATAAGTCAGAAGAATGGATGAGGTAAGTAACCTTAGTGGTTGACTGCACAATGTACAATTCAGTGTACATTGTATATTGTAAATAAGATTAATATTTCATTAGACTGCTTATTAATTGATTCTTTTTGGTTTTCAGAAAGATGCTTCATCTTAGGAAACAGTTATTATCCTTAACTAATCAGTGTTTTGATATTGAAGAAGAAGTATCAAAGTATCAAGAGTATACAAATGAGGTATGACTATCAAAAGTATCTAGAAAAAAATCTTTTTCCTGTTTGGAAAAAAATACATTTCTTCTCAGTTTATATTTGAAATGATTGAAAAGAGAGAAGTGGGACATAATACACCTTATATTCAGTTCTGTTTGCCCATTTGTAATATGTGTTTTAAGCCAGCTTTTCAGAACTTAGATCTTTTACAGTTAAAAGCATCTGATAAAACATTCTTTTAATCATCTGTAAAAAGAGGATTTTTTAAAGTGGTGATTTAGGGGTGCCTGGGTGGCTCAGTCGTTAAGCATCTGCCTTCAATCCCTGGGATCGAGCCCCCGCATCAGGCTCCCTGCTCAGGGGGAGGCCTGCTTCTCCCTCTCCCACTCCCCCTGCTCGTGTTCCCTCTCTCGCTGTCTCTCTCTCTGTCAAATAAATAAAATCTTAAAAAAAAAAAAAATCTTACCACGGTTTCTCAACACTCTTGGGAAAAAAGCCAGAGCCCTTTTTAAAAAAAAGTAAAAAATAAAGTGTTAAGTACTGTATCATTCACAGTTTTGAAATTAAAATTTAAAGCTATAAAGGGCTTATAAAATGTGTAACATTTGGGGCGCCTGGGTGGCTCAGTTGGTTAAGCATCTGCCTTCGGCTCAGGTCATGATCCCAGAGTCTTGGGATTGAGCCTTACATCGGGCTCCCTGCTCAGCGGGGAGTCTGCTTCTCCCTCTGCCTGTCACTCCCCCTGCTTGTGCTCGCTTTCTCTCTGTCAAATAAATAAATCAAATCTTTAAAAAAAAAAAAGTGTAACATTTAATGTAAGATCTGTAGTTTGTACTTTGTTCAGTGATTGATGTAGGTTTTTTTGATGTTTCAGTTACAAGAAACTTTGCCCCAGAAAATGTTTGCAGCCTCCAGTGGAATCAAACATACCATGACCCCAATTTATCCATGTTCTAATACATTAGTGGAAATGACTCTCGGGTAAGAAATTTATTATTTGGTAACTATGATGTTTCCATTCATTTTTATTTTTTGTGTGATCTTGCTCTTTTATTTTGAAATTTTGGGTGTTTGTTGTGAATACATTTGCAAATGTTATTTAATGGTTTAGTCTAATCTAGAGAACCAAAACATAATTGAATTCTAAAACATTTGCATACTTTTTTGAGCAGAGACATTGATACTTGTTTTGTTTGTATAGTATGAAGAAATTAAAGGAAGAAATGGAAGGGGTGGTTAAAGAACTTGCTGAAAATAATCATATCTTAGAAAGGTAAGTAATGCAAATATTATTCTGCCCTGTGATTTTTTTTTACGGAAGGAAGTACATATAGATCTATACTTGTACCTGTCTGTTTTCCTGTATCAGTAGGTTAAAGTAATGGGGAAAGGATATAAAGTCAGAACCCTTTTGTTTTGGGATTTCCATGATGCCTTTTAATGTGTTTGGGGTTGCTTGGATAAAGACAAGTCAACTGTGATTGATTCCATTTCATAATAGCACTGGTTAATAGAATTATTTGTTATTTTTTGTACATCTCATTAGAATCGTAATTTATTGGGGTGCCTGGGTGGCTCAGTCGGTTAAACGTACGACTCGATTTTGGCTCAGGTCATGATCTCAGGTTCAGGAGATGGAGCCCTGCCTTGGGCTCCATGCTCAGCGGGGAATCTGCTTGAGGATTTTTCTCCCTCTCCCTCTTCCCCTCCCCATGCTTGTTTGCTCTCTCTAAATAAATAAATAAATCTAGAATCATTATTTTTTAAATATTTGAGAGTGTACATGCACAAGTGGGGGGTGGGGGGCAAAAGGAGAGGGAGAGAGAGAATCTCAAGCAGATGCCTCACTGAGCTCAGAGCCTGAGACTGGGCTCAGTCTCCCAAACCTGAGATCATGACCTCAGCCAAAATCAAAAGTCCGAGGCTTAACCAACTAAGGCACCCAGGTACCCCGAATGTTACCATTTTTAATGTTTGCTGATTTGTTTAGTAAAAAAGGTTATCTTATTTTAATTTGCATTTCTTTGGTTATAGTGATATGAAGTATCTTTTTATGTTTATTCAAATTTGTGTGTGTGTGTGAATTGCCTTTTTTTTTAAAGATTTTATTTATTTATTCATGAGAGACAGAGAGAGAGAGAGAGAGAGGCAGAGAGAGAAAGGCAGAGGGAGAAGCAGGCTCCCAAGGAGCAGGGAGCCCGATGCAGGACTCGATCCTGGGACTCCGGGATCATGACCTGAGCCGAAGGCAGACGCTTAACCATCTGAGCCACCCAGGCGCCCAGCCTTTTGGTTTTAAAATCTTTTTTTCTATTGGTTTCTAGCAATTACATAGTAATTATCTAACTTTTTTATAGTACCCAATTTAGTTTCTTTACAACTTGAGCTAAATATCAGTAAGAAGAGACTATTAAGATATGCTTTAACAAACTTATATTGAATCTCTTCTGCCTTGTGACATAAAATCCTCACTTCTTAAACCATGTCCCATAAGTCACTTTCCCCTATTTTATCTGCAAATTTATTTGACAATATATGGGTCATATAACATGGCATAATCATAGCTTAAATGTTAAATGACTGCTTACGGATTTGTGCCAGAACTAATGAGCACTGTCTCCATGTGGCTGTCTCATTATCACTTCATTTCTTTTGTATCTAAAATCACATCATATCACCCTTCCCAACTCAGTTTCCCCTCCAATTTCCTCATTCTTTGCAGTGGGAACCACCTTTTTCCTGCTCCCTTGAACATAGGTTATTTTTATACTAACTCTCTTTTTTACTGCCTTTCATCAAGTTTGGTAATCTTCCTTCAGAATGTTTCCATATTACCCCTCTTGGCCTCATCAGACCTCCTTCCTCCTCACAGGGGAGCTGTGGTGATAACCTACCACCTATCTTCCTAAGCCTAGGTTTTTCCCATCTGTCATGGCTATTAAGCCAAAACAATCTTCCCAAACACTGATCTACTGGCATACTCCTTTGGCTCAAAAATTTCTAAACTCCTGTTACCTAAAAGGTCAAGTCTAAATTCACACTTGAATTCAAAGAATGGAATACTCTGGCCCAGCCCATTGACTCAACTTTACTTCCTGCTAGTCCCCAGAATAACATTCTGTTCTGGCAAGGTTGCATTCCTTACTGCCCATTGAGTATGTCACACTCCCAACTCCTTCTTATCTTTGCTTTTCTAAATCCCACCCCACCAAGAAGAAGTTATCCGGTTTTTCCTAATACTTTCTAGATCACATCCCTCACCTTTTTCTCTTAAGAAGTCCTCCCAAGGGGCGCCTGGGTGGTTCAGTCAGTTAAACGTCTGCCTCCGGCTCAGCTCAGGATCCCAGGATCCTGGGATCAAGCCCCACGTCAAGCTCCCTGCTCAGCAGGCAGCCGGCTTCTCCCTCTAGCTTTGCTGTTCCTCCCCGTGTGTGCTCTCTGGCACACGTGCTCGCTCGCTCTCTCTCTCTCTCAAATAAATAAATAAAAATCTTTGGGGGGGAAAAAAAAAGGAACATCTCCCAAGCCACCGATTGGTATTTTTTTCACGTATTTATAATAATACCACTGCGTTTCAGTAAGAAATAGAGCAAATCATAGTTGCTTAAACTCTTTAACAGCTTGTTCATCTGAAAAGTCTCCTATATTCTTCTTTAAAATATTGGGGGCCAAATAAATGAATCATCTGAGATTTCCTTTTTTCTTTTGTGTTTTAGGTTTGGCTCTTTAACCATGGATGGCGGCCTTCGCAATGTTGACTGTCTTTAGCTTTCTGGAAGTTTGAGAACAGTTTTAATTTGCACAAGAAGATAATGCTGGGGCATTAAATGAATGCCTCTATAAGTGGTCTCTTATTTCTACAGTTCAGTATTTGATGTGGGCATGTAAATATGTACAATAATGTAAATACATAAAAAATATATAAATTTTTGGCTGCTGTTAAGATGTAATTTTACCTTTTAACATTTATAATTAAATGAGGACATGTGACCTCAGTGAGCACTAGAAGAAAGCCATGACCAATATGTTGAAATACTGATCCTCTACTCTACTGAGTGAGGCTGAGTTCTACATCTCTGCCTACTGGAAACATTTTTTAAATGGAACCAAAATTGTCATCCTTACAAATCAGAAAAGACTAATAGTTGACATGTTTATAAGTGATAGAATGGAGAAGTGGCTTCTTTGGGTAAGGAGCTGAACCGAACCACTGTTTTACTAGGATCACAATTTTGGGGGAAGGATAATTTCATTTTACAAGGTGCCCAGAACCCAGTTATCATCGTATGTGTTTAATTTCAGATAAATTATTGAGCAGACTTTTTAAAGTGATGTAATTATTAAAAATTGTTCGTTTTATTTTGGCCATAAGTGTACAACCGTCTTAAAAATTTTAGGATTATTTCTGCTGTTTCAAGCTGTATATTTTTTGTTTAATTTAATTCCACTTACTCCATCATGAAAAAATATCAATAAATTTCTCAGTTTTAATGTAAAAGTTTGTATTTTTCTGTGTACAACAGTTTGAGAAACAAAAGTCTTTTGAAAGAAATAATATCTGTGGTGATTGCAAATCATTCTCAGACTATTGGATATAAGGACAGTTTTGTTTCTCTTCTAAATCTGATTCTAATTTAGTATAAGTTCTCCAATTAATTTATGCTATCCGGGGGACGCCTGGGTGGCTCAGTTGGTTAAGCGTCTGCCTTCGGCTCAGGTCACAATCCTGGAGTCCCAGGATCGAGTCCCGGGATCGAGTCCTGCATCGGGCTCCCCGCCCAGCGGGGAGTCTGCTTCTCCCTCTCCCTCTGCCTGCAGCTCCCCCTGCTTGTGCTCTCTCTCTCTCTCTGACAAATAAATAAAATCTTTAAAAAAAAATAAAAATAAAAATTTACGCTATCCAGATCCAAAGGGAGCACTCTCTTTGAAATATCTACCCAGAGTCCTGTACTAAAGGATATACTCAGCAAGATACTATTTCATCCAAGAAGGACGTGGTTCTGATTTTGGTTTTGGTTTCTGACTTACCAGATTATTGAAGTGTGATTATACACAACCTGCTTATCATAAAAATAACATGTCCCAAAGAGTGAATAAATTTGACTACCATAAACATTGGGAAACTGAAAATGGGTTAAGTTTTAATTTGAAATCTCAAATCAATGCATTATCATAGTAAAGAATTTTAAGTATTACCTGTATACGTTATAGAAATAAATGCATGGGGCGCCTGGGGGGCTCAGTCGTTAAGCGTCTGCCTTCGGCTCAGGTCACAACCCTGGAGTCCCGGGATCGAGTCCCGCATCGGGCTCCCCGCCCAGCCGGGGGGGCCTCCTCCTTCTGACCCTCCCCCATCTTGTGTTTTCTCTCTCACTCTCTCCCTTTCAAATAAATAAAATCTTAAAAAAAAAAAAAAAAAATGCATGGGTGAGTGGTCCCTGTCAAATATCTGTTTAGTCTGAGAGTTTCTGGGGTGAGGGGGTGTTTGTTTAATCCCTCTTAATTTTCATTTCCCATTTGACTATTTAATTGTATAGTTTAAATGTTTATATCACTGAACATTAGGTAAAATTTTACTTACATTATGTGGTCAGTTAATATATTTGCAGAATTAGTTTTCAGCACCTCTAGAAAAGATTACCAATAAATAAACCCATGCTGTGGGGACTGAATTTTTATGAGTTGTATTAACAAGAACAAATCCATTCAACGTTAATACTGGTTAAGACTTAATGTTTTATTCCCCATTACAGCAACATGGAAACCAGGCATTCTTGCTTTTTTAAAAGACTTATTTGACAGAACGCAAGCAGGGGGAGCGGTAGGCAGAGAGAGAGGGAGAAGTAGGCTCCCTGCTCTCCATCCCAGGGCCCTGGGATCATGACCTGAGCTGAAGGCAGACGCTTAACTGAGCCACCCAGGCGCCCCTGGGCATTCTTGCTTTTAATATTTTACCTTCAAGAATACAATCCTGGGGGGAAATGGCGGCTCCTGGAGAGAGCGGGGCTTCGGCTGGTGGAGGGAGCACCGAGGAAGCATTTATGACCTTCTACAGTGAGGTGAAACAAATAGAGAAGAGAGATTCAGTTCTAACATCCAAAAATCAGACTGAAAGATTGACCCATCCTGGTTCTTCCTACTTCAACCTGAACCCATTTGAGATTCTTCAGCTAGATCCGGAAGTGACAGATGAAGAAATCAAAAAGAGGTTTCGACAGTTACCCATACTGGTGCACCCTGACAAAAACCAAGATGATGCTGACAGAGCACAAAGGGCTTTCGAAGCTGTGGACAAAGCTTACAAGTTGCTACTGGATCAGGAACAAAAGAAGAGGACCCTGGATGTAATTCAGGCAGGAAGAGAATACGTGGAACACACTGTGAAAGAGAGAAAAAAGCAATTAAAGAAGGAAGGAAAACCTACAAATGTGAGGAGGACGACCCTGAGCTGTTCAAACAAGCAGTATCTAAACAGACCGTGAAACTCTTTGCCGCGCTGGAAATTGAAAGAGAGAGAAGCCAAAGAGACGCATGAAAGGACGCGACAAAGGGAAGAAGAAATTGAAGCTCAAGAAAAAGCCAAACGAGAAAGGGAGTGGCAGAAAAACTTGGAGGAAAGTCGAGATGGTCGTGTGTGGACAGCTGGCGAAACTTCCAAGCAAATACAAAGGGGAAGAAAGAGAAGAAAAATCGGACCTTCCTGAGACCACCGAAAGTAAAAATGGAGCAGCGTGAGTGACCACCTGGGGTCACAGCCACAGAACCTTACCCCAACTGTCTCCCCTCCTGCTTTGAAGGACTCATTCTTTCCTCCCATTTCCACCCCAACATAGAGTAGTAGTTGCTTTTTAGTCCGTTTTGTTTTCAATACAATTTCATATCGATCAGAGTAATTCTTTTGTACATTGAAATGAGGGGCTCAGTTTAGAATGAAACTTTCCCCCACCCCCTACCCCTAGACCAACCAGGATTGGAAGGTGCCACCATTGGTGCTGCCTTCTCTTCCCACAGCCTGTAACTTAATGTTTTGTACTTCACTGAATTGTGATGGTTAGAAACTTCGTGTATAGTTTGTGGAAATCACATCCAATTAAACATATTGTTTAAAATGGTGTTGCCGTGACTTCAGAGACAAGCCTGGGCCACCTTAGGAATCCCCTTTGCTTCGGATGCTTGCTTCTGGGCGTGGCATCCCTTGAAGCCCCAGATCAGACAGGGAAGGCAGGGGGCACGCAGAGCAGTCACTCAATGCCCCGACCTTCCGCAGCGTTTGGCATATGCTCTCCTTTCTGACTGACCATTCTGCGTGGCATGAGGCTCCGAGCCACCCAAACCTGTTCACTTTCCAAAGAGCCAGCCATCTTCCATCTGGTTTCATTGTGTCCTAGCCTGTCTGCATTCATTAGTGGTCATATTCTGTACATGTAATAAATTTTTATACCCTAACAAAAAAAAAGAATACAATCCTGGGGCGCCTGGGTGGCTCAGTTGTTAAGCGTCTGCCTTCGGCTCAGGTCATGATCCCAGGGTCCTGGGATCGAGCCCCGTGACAGGCTCCCTGCTCTGTGGGAAGCCTGCTTCTCCCTCTCCCACTCCCCCTGCTTGTGTTCCTGCTCTCGCTGTGTCTCTCTCTGTCAAATAAATAAATTAAAAAAACAAAAATACAATCCTCATTCAGAACATTTTAGGTTAATGAATACCTGGTGATACTAGTCTGCTAATCTAATAACCTAATAAGTTACATCTACAGTTTAGTAGCCTTTTTTTCGTTACTGGGATATATTTTCAAAAGGTAGGGATTAATGATATAAAAATAGTATATAGTTAGTGGATTTAACTCTTTACATAAGCTATAGTTCTAACAAGAAATAAAAGATGAAGTAAGTGAACATAAAGCATATGGGAAGAAAGGGATATTTTTGAGTAAATAAAAAAGGAATTAGAGGTTAGGGAAGAAATGTGAAAAATAATCCCATAACATCTTCTGAAGTTCCAGGTTCTATTATTTTGGAAATTACCAAATACTATATAATTGGCTTTTAGACCTAATTACACTGTGTCAAGCAGGCTGCCTCTAGTCTTAGATATAAAAGATCTTAAAATATTTATTTCAAAAAATATCAATAAATTATCCAGAAAGGAATTATAATAATCTTGGATTTATCTTGCTTTCCTGTTATTTTTTTAAGCAATAATTTCACTTCTGTGGTGTTCTGTGCTAAAAATAAAGGGGTAAGTTGTTTGGAATTAAGAAAGTCACTATCAGTAGGAATAAACAATCTCAGCTGATAGATCAAAAATTTATTCTCCCTTCAGAATCATAGTCACAACCAGGATTAGTCTGCTATTTCTGATTTCACCCCACTCAGAAATGCCTATTATGCATTGTGCTTTGTCTTTCAGAAGTGCTGTAGGAAATTTACTCAAATCTTTAAAACTCAGAAGTGCTGAAAATAAAAAGTTTTGAAAATATAAAGGAGTTGTAACACTATTGTTTTAGCTGGACCCATCATCCACATCCCATTTTTTTTTTAAGATTTTATTTATTTGAGAGTGAGTGAGAGAGAGCATGAGCCGGGGGAGGAGCAGAAGGAGAGGGAGAAGCAGGGTCCCCACTGAGCTGGGACCCCGATTTGGGACTAGATCCCAGGGTCCCGGGATCATGACCTGAGCCAAGATGCTTAACCGACTGAGCCACCCAGGTGACCCCACATCCCATTTTTAAAGTTGGGGCTCCTGGCTGGCCCAGAGAGCACACAACTCTTGATCTCGGGGTCGTGAGTTTGAGCCCTACATTGGGGGTAGAGATTACTAAAAAAAAAAAAAAAACTTAAAAAAAAGACCAAAATATCTTCAAAAGTCTTACACTGTTGTTTTATTTGGACTTCCTCCCCAGTTGTCACTTACAGGAAGACTCAAAGTCCAAATCCTAAGGAATACCAAAAATGGAATAGAAAACAAAGACACCGACGTGGAAATAAAAACTGGTAATAATATCGTTTGTGTTTTTTAGCTTACAGGTCAGCACCAAAAATTTAGTGTGGTGTATAAAAGCACAACCCAAGTATTACATCAGGATGTTTAGGGACTAAAGCAAGCTATCATAAGTTTGACATAAACAGAATGTGCAAGGACTAGTGGTTAAACATAGCTTCAGGTGAGAACCTCAGTCCCTGTTGCTTAGTAGAGAGCTAGACATTGGTGTCTGCTGAAATAATACACAATAATGTTAAAGGTCTAGAAAAATATTCAACAAAGGGTCAAATTCCAAAACAGGACCCTAGAAAAAATCTTATTCTTTTACACATTTCTTGGCTTGTAAGAATCAAATTTTTTTTCTGGAATAAATTCCTGCCAGAGTTTAAAATACATATCACGTTTTCACTGGGAAAATTTTCAGTCTGTACAAAGTAAAACATTTTTAATTTGTACAAAACAAATGCGATCCAGGCTATGGCTTTGGGAGGTAGCTCGTTAATCACCAAGTCCTACAAATTG